TTTTTTTTATAAAGGTGTTCATAAAAATGTATAATAAAAGCATAACTGAGAACACTAAGAAAATATTCCAGAAATTTTACATATTTTATGTCATATGCTGCCTGATCTTTATATTAGCGATTGGAGGCTTGATGTTCATAAAATTGATTTAAATAATTTGCGTATTTTATAGTCGTATCTCACTTTTTGTACAAGTTTACCAATTAACACCCAGCCTGCGTCAATTTATTTCGCTCAACTTTCTGCAGCTTTATAGGGCAAAGTTTCTGATGTTTGTATACAAATGAATAACAACTTATTGAACGCGAATAAACAGTTTTGTATGTTCAATCGGATCGTTTGTGGAGTGTCTTTTAATTTGTTTGTTGCGCGCTTTTCATTTCTTTTTATTTTATGTGTTTTTGTGCCGCGCGAACGTCTTAATCGGTCGAGAGGCGGAATCGAACTGAAGCAAATGCCACACGAGCCGCCATATCGAAGACGTCGTCAATGTCGGGCCGATTGTCGCAGCCCCAATCGGCGCGTTAATTTTCTTAATGAATTTGTACAAATAATTAAAAGCTATTGCTAGGGAAACTTTAACCGAAACACTTCCGTTCGAACTGGTCGCATGAGCTGTCTTCCAGCCAAGGGCAGGCAGAAGGCATTTCAACAGGATATTATTACAAGTCTGCGTTTCCATAATTTCCGCACTTAATCAATAACAATTTGGTCTCTCTACTAATGCACTTGACACGATTATCGTCGCTGTCTAGTCCATAGTTTAGATTATAAAGCTATCAATAGTCAATGGATCAGAATGCAGCTATTGCATCTGCCACTCTACTACGGCCGGCTGATAAAAACAATTTTTTAATTGCACTGACATCTACTACTACGGCGGGTATTCTATTTTAATCTTTATGGTACGTACCTGTCGCAATTCGCACTTGCTTAGACCAAGTGACACACTCGCATTTATTTTCGATTAGCTGACATAGAACTTTTTTCTTTCTTTATAAATAGGCCCTACTTTTTATCTAGTTTTATAAATAAAACTATAAGAAATCAGCCAAGAAAATTGGTGAATGTGCAGAAAACTCAGAAATGGAACAATTAACTGCCAGCTTTGTAAAATAATTACCATATTTTGTGTGGATTAAGAAATATAAATTAATAATGGCACAGAAAAAAAAAAAAAGACCATATTTTATATGTCTTAAGAAAAATAAAATAAAATAATAATAT